ACACAACAAATTTCTGTTATCAAAAACAGAAGTTGCTGGCAAAGCTCAGCAGGTCTGATGGAATCTGTGAAGAAAAAAAATCGCTGCTCGACTTGGAAGGTGTGTCTGGGGCCTTGGATAGTGAGGAGGGAAGTAAGCAGGCAGGTGTCAAACCTTTTGCAATTGTATGGGAAGGTGTCGTGGAGCTGTGGGGATGCTTTGGGAATGAAGGAGGAGTGGACCAAGGAGTCCTGGAAGGAACAGCCCCTGCAGAAGACTAACGAAGTCTTCCTTCTTTTAACATTTCGGGTCCGGTGACCCTTCCTCAGAACAGAATTTCTGTTAATACCTGCCAACTTCTGACGTGATATTGGTTGCCCAACTTTTTTGCAACCACCCCCCACTCCACTCCTCCTCTTATCCATTCTAACCTATTTCCCTCTGAACTGACTGCACTCCATACTCTTAGATCCAACCCTAACTTTGTAGTTAAGCCTGCCGCCAAGGGTGCTGCTGTTGTCATCTGGCACACTGACCTCTACATTATGAAGGCTGAGCGTCAGCTCTCTGACACTTCCTTGTATCACCCCCTGGACCATGAATCCCACCATGGAAGACTAGGCTGTTGCGTCCACAACAGTTACTAATCTCATTTCATCAGTGATCTCCTCTCCACTGCCTCCAAGCTTACAGTCTCCCAACCTCCATATAGTTCACTTCTAGCTCCTTCCCACAAACAGGACTTCCTGGACAGGTGCATTATTTCTGCCTGCTCCTGCCCCAGGAAACTCATCTCTTTCTACCTAGACTTGACTGTTTCCCCCCTTGTCCAGTCCCTTCAGCCTTATATCCGAGATTCTTCTGATACCTTACATCAGTTTCAAAGTTTCCAGTTCGCCGCCTACTCTTTACTATGGATGTGCAATTCTTTTACACGTCCATCCCCCATCAGGATGGTCTCAAGACTTTCTGCTGCTTCCTGGACAAAAGGCCTGAACCGTCCCATCCACCACCATTCTCCTCCGCCTGGCTGAGCTGGTCCTTTGAACAATTTCTCCTTCATCTGCCCCACACTTTCTTCAGCTCAAAGGTGTGACCATAGGTACCTGCACGGGCTCCAATCATGCCTGTCTCTCTGTGGAGTACGTGGAACAGTCTTTGCTCCAGTCCTATTCCGTTCCCACCCGCAACTCTTTCCCTGGTACATCGATGACATCATCGCTGTCTTTCTCATCTGGAATTGGAAAAGTTTATCTATTTTGTTTCTGATTTGCAAGTTGCTCTCACCTTCACCTGGTTCATCCCTAACTCCTCCCTTCCTTCCTCAACATCTGTTTCCATTGCTGGGGATAGGCCAACCAATATCCACTACAGACCCACCGACTCCCACTTGACGATACATTCTTGCAGCATGCGTCTTGTAAAGACTCCATCACATCCTCCCAGTTCCTCCATCTCTGTCACATCTATTCCAACTTCAACAAGGGGGATCTCCAAAATGTCCAGCTTCTTCCTCAACTGAGGAATATCCACTACCATGGTTGACAGGGCCCTCAGCTTTGTCTGACCAATCACCTGCACTTCGTCCCTTACCTCTCTCTTCCCTCCCACAACAGCAATAAGGTCCCCCTCATCCTCACCTTCCATCCATATCCAAAGGATCATTATCTGCCATTTTTGCCACCTCCACTAGGATTTCATCATGAGGCACATATTCCCATCCCCTCTTTTGTTAGTCTTCTGCAGGGGCTGTTCCTTCCAGGACTCCTTGGTCTACTCCTCCTTCATTCCCAAAGTATCCCCACAGCTCCACGACACCTTCCCATACAATTGCAAAAGGTTTGACACCTGCCTGCTTACTTCTTCCCTCCTCACTATCCAAGGCCCCAGACACACCTTCCAAGTCGAGCAGTGATTTACTTGCACTTCACTCAATCTAGTTTACTTTATTTGCTGATCACAATGTGGTCTCCTGTACACCAAGGAAACAAAGTGCAGACTGGGTGACCACTTTACGGAACACATGCTCTGTCTGCAAAAATGACCGTGAGCTTCCAACTGCCTGCCACTTCAATACACCACCTACTCCCTGGCCAACATCTGTGTCTTGGGCTTGCTGCAGTGCTCAGCACAAGCCGGAAAAACAGAACCTCATTTTCCACTTGTGAACTCAGCAGCCTTCTAGACTCAATATTGAGTTCAACAATTTCAGCACCTTCTCCCATGTTCTTATCACAACCCCATCACACCAGTGCTTATCATCACATGGGCTGCTACCACAAACAACCCATTGTCAGCCATTGATAGTCCCCAATTCGTTCTCCATTATCTTTGCCATTTCTTTTTCTGTCTAATTCTTTTTCTCTCTCTCAGCTCCATCGCCATCTATCGTTTACTGATTGCCCTCTTCCCCCCCCACCCATCTTTAGCATATATACCAAATATTTTCTAGGTACAATCAATTCTGAAGAAGGGTCACTGGACCTGAAACATTAACATCGGCTGAGTTTTTCCAGCAGCTTTTGTTTATGTACCATACTGCCGACCTTAATCATTGATATATACCATGAGCAATAAGGGACCCAGTTTTGTGAGACCTCACTGGAAACAGTCATCGAGTCACAAAAGCACTTGTCAACCATACCGCTTTGCTTCCTACTGCAAAACAAATTTTGGATCCAATGTACCATTTCCCCTTGTACCCCATGAGCCTTTAAATTTACTTGCCAAACTGCCATGCAGGAACTTGTGACTAGCCTAAATAAAATCAAAGTAGACTAAATCAAGTTTGCCATCTCTTTAACACTTGTTACCTCCTCAGAAAATTAAACAAATTAATTCAAGACAACTTGGCGTAGAAAGTCCATGCTGACTGTTCCCCCAAAAATGATAACTTATTCTGCTTCCCAAATCTGTTTCCAATAATGTGTCCAACACGGAGATTAAATTGGTTGGTCTCCAATTAATTAATGTGGAGGCGCCAGTGCTGGACTGGGTTGGACAAAGTCAGAAGTCACATGACAACATGTGACGGTGCAACAGGTTTATTTGGAATCACAAGCTTTCAGGGCACTGCTCCTTTGTCAGGTGACGAACCAGGAGTGCTCCGATAGCTTGTGATTTCAAATAAACCTGTTGGACTCTAACCTGGCACCTTGTGATTTCTGACTTTGTAATTACTTGGGCTAACCCTTCTTCGGTCTTTGAACACGAGTATAAAGTTAGCAAACTCATAGTCCTCCAGCGTCAGACTTGTAGCCAGACAGGACTGAAAAATGATGGTGGCAGGGTCTGCTGTTAACTTCCTGTTTCTCTTAGAAATAGTACCTTTCATGAGGCATAACAATTTACCCACTTTCAAAGATGCTAAACATCTTAATATTTCCTTTTTCGCTATGTTCTCTCAATTCAGGATTTCACATTACCCAGCAAACAAAATGCAAATACAATGTGAAAACCAATAAAAAGCATTCTTAAGAGCCTTGCCCAATTCTTCCGTTTCCACACATTAACTTTTTCTTGGTCTTTACATCTTTCACAGTCCATGTGACATCTAGTGTTCCTTGCCTGCATAGCGCTTTTTAAAAGTTTTGTACTATTTCTTAGTTTTTGTATTGAGTAATTTTGTTTAGTTCTGCAGGTACAGCTTTTTCTTCATTCATTCACAGGACGAGAGTGTCACTGGCTAGGCGAGTATTCACCGCCCATCCCTAATTGACCAGAGGGCACTTCAGGGTCAACGACATTACTGTGGGTCTGGAATCATGTACACCAGACCAGATAAGGATGGCACATTTCCTTCCCTGAAGGACAACCGTGAGCCAGCCATAAATCCATTATGAATTGTCAGAAAAACCCATCTGGTTCACTAATGTCCTTTAGGGAAGGAAACTGCCATCCTTACCTGGTCTGATCTACATGTGACTCCAGACCCACAGCAATGTTTCAACAGCCCTCTGAGCAATTAGGAATGCGCAATAAATGCTGACCTAGCCAGTGACGTTCTCATCCCATGAATCAATAAAAGGAGATGGGTTTTTCCAACAATTGACAATGGTTTAACAGTCGTCAGTACATTCTTAATCCCAGATTTTAAAATTGAATTCACATTTAGAATTTCAAATTCTGATGTGGACACTGTGAAGGAAGTAATATAGTTGGAAGTTAGGATGGTATTTGGCTTGGAGGGGATCTTGCAGGTGGCGATGCCCTTGTCTTTCTAGGTAGTAGAGGTTTAGAAAGTACTGTCTTAGGAACATGGGTGAGTTGTTACACTGCATTTTATCATTAAAGTGTACTTTGTTATTAGACTAATTACTAGCTTACTGTTGCTAAAAAATGTATCATCTATTCATTTGCAGATTTACAAACATATTGTTCCAGAATACTGTTCAAATTACACTCAAGAAATTAGTAGTCTTTGGGGACTACAAAATAATCTGCTTCCCTGTGCCTAGGTAGAAGTTGAATATATCTACTACATTTTTGCAAGAAAGTAATCTGTGTTTTATGTAACCTGCTAGACCATTACTACTAATGTTCCATCAGAATCTGGTATCCTTTTCTAATTCTCAATTCTACAATGAGGGGTAATGCAATGATAGAACCTGTAAAGCAGACACCATCATGTGATATTGGGGATAGCAGGAAGAGGGACTTCATGGCCTGGCAAACCATAAATCTGAGATTCCGATAAAACAGAGAGATTTTACAGGTTGGTACGGAAGAGTAATATCATCAATTTCAAGAAGACAGAGTCAAAGATCTGATTGGGAAGGTGCAGAGGAATTACTGAGAATTAAGGCTGAAAGGAGGGAAAGATTGGAAGGCCACAGGGTCCAAGAGGGTCAGAGAGGGCTACATTTATTCAGAGATAAAATTATTTTATGTGCATTTATAAAACATACACATTAGAGAAATTTATATTTCTGAATGAGACATCTCAATCTACAGTTCTTTTTGCAAAAAATAAGCATGGATTAGTTTAACAATACTTTTATACAATAAAACAAAACTAGTACCTTAAGTACTTGAACTTGTCCTTCAGTTGTGACATCTTGCATCATCTCGCAGAAGGATTGGCACAGGACAGCTGCAAAATTCTGGAAGGGAGGATTTCATGCTCATCTTAAACAGTAAAATAGATTAATATATTCCAGTAATTCTATATTCAAAGGTCAGTAGAGATGGATAAGTAGAAGATAGGTGATCCTCAGAGATGTTTCAATGCATCAACATTTTATATTATTACTTCACAAGATGTGAGTGTCACTGGCTAGGCAACCATTTATTGCTAATCCTTAATTGCTCCTAGAAAGCGGTGGTGAGCTACCTTCTCGAACAGCTATTGTCCATATGGTTATGTACACCCTTTGTTAGGGAGGAAGTTACAAAATTTTGACCCAGCAACAGATATAGAGTTCCAAGTTAACAAGATGTGTCGTGCGGAGGGGATCTTGCAGGTTGTAGTGATTATTACATTAGCGATGCAGCTTTCAGTAACGCTCCTGAAACTAATCCAACGCCAAGGCATACACTGCATAAATTTTGATGCTTGGTTTTCAATTTTCAATTTTAATACTGATACCCCCTTTCAGTACAAAGTTATTTCTTCTATTCAGAGTTTAAAAAATGTGATGCTAAGCAAAGATATCTTTTATGCATTCCACTGGAGTACAAGTTAAGGATTAGGATCAGAGCTTAGTTTTAAACTGATGAATTGCAATTCAGCTTTAAGTGTTACAATACAAGTGTTCTCACCTTACACAAGTCAACTGGAAGGCTTTAATAATTATTCATGTTCCTCAATTTTTATGAAGAAAGACATAGACGTAGAACAGTACATCACAGGAACAGGCCCTTCATCCTGTGCCAACTATATTGCCATTCTAAACTAATCCCATTTTCCATTCTAAAATAATTCCATTGTCCTCTAAGTGCCTCTTTAACATCGCTATTGTCTCTGTGTCTATCATTTCCCCTGGCAGCATGTTCCAGGCACCGACCACCATCTGTGTAAAAATCTTTCATGACACATCCCCTTTAAACTTTCATCCTTTCACCTTAAACCTATGCCCCCTAGTATTTGACATTTCTACCCTGGGAAAATGATTCTGACTATCAACCCTATCCATGCCTCTCTTAACATTATATAGTTCTATCAGATCACTCATCAGTCTCCGATGCTCCAGCAAAAACAATCCGACTTTGCCCAGCCTCTCCTGATAGCTAATACACTCCAATCCAGGAAATGTCATAGCAAACCTCTTCTGCACCCTCTCCAAGGCATCCACATCCTTCCTATAGTGTGGTGCCCAAAACTGCACACAGTATTCCAAATGTGGACTAACTAAAGGTTTATACAACTACAATGTGACTTGCCACCTTTTATACTGAATGCCTTACCTGAAAGCAAGCCTTATGCCATATGCTTTCTCTACTACGTTATCTACTTGTATTACCGCTTTCAGGGAGCTATGCACTTGCTCCCCAAAGTCCTTATGTATATCAATGCTCTTGAGGATACTGCCATTTACTATATACTTTCCTCTTGCATTTGACGTTCCAAAACGCATCATCTCACACTTGACTAGATTAAATTCCATCTGCCATTTTTCTGTTCAATTTTCCAACTGATTTATGTCTTGACGCATTCTTTGAAAACTTCTCTCACTATTCACAACTCCATCAATTTTCCTGTCATCTGCAAAGTTGCTAATTAGACCACGTACATTTTCAGTCTAAATCACTTACATATATTAAGCAGAAGTCCTAGCACTTATCCTTGCCAAATCACACCTCCAGTCAGGAAAACACCCCTCCACCGCTAATCTCAGTTTTTTATGACCAAGCCAATTTTGTATCCAATTTGCCAACTTACCATGGACGTCATGTGACTTAATCTTCTGGACTACCCTACAATGTCGGATCTTATCAAATACTTCAGTAACGTCCATATAGACAACATACACTTCTCTTCCATCATCAATCATCTTCGTTACTTCCTCAAAAAACTCAATCAAGTTTGTGAGGCAAGACCTCCCCTGCATAAAACCATGCTGATTATCCATTAATTTTCCAAATGCAAGTAACTTCTGTTCCTAGGAGTCTTCTCCAATAATTTCCCTACCACTGATGTAGGACTCAGGTTTATAATCTCCTGGACTATTTCTGTTGCCCTTCTTGAACAAAGGAACAACACCGGCTATCCTCCAGGCTTCTAGGACCTTGCCTATGGCTTAAGAGGATACAAAGATCTCTTTCAAGGCCCCAGCAAACTCCTCCCTTGCCTAGTTTTAGTTTCCTGAGATAGATCCCATCAGGCCCTGGAAACATATCTAATGTTTTTCAAGACACCCAACACTACCTCCTTCTAATATCAACACACCCCAGAATATCAACATACCCTTCCCCAACGTTACCATCATCCATGTCCTTCTCCTTGATGGATACCAATGCAAAGTACTCTTTAGGAACCTCACCCACTTCCTCGGGTTCCATGCATAAATTTTCTCCTTTGTCCTTGAATGGGCCTATCCTTTCCCTTGTTACCTCTTGATCCCAAATTATGTAAACAAAATGCCTTGAAATTCTCCTTAATCCAACTTGCCAAGGACTTCTCACCCATCTAAACCTCCTAATTTCTTGTTTAAGTCTTTTCTGTTTCCTTTATATTCAAAGGCCTTGTTTGATTTTAGTTTCCCAAACCTTACATATTCTTTGTTTTTCTTTTTGATTAACTTTTCAATTTCTCTATCATCCAAGGTTTCCAAATCCTGTCATCCTTCTCTTTTATCCTCATAGGACTACGCTAGTCCTGAACTTTGATCAACTGGCCCTTGAAAGACTCCTACATGTCAAATGTGGACTTACCTTCAAACAGTCACCTCTAATCTACTTTCTCCAGTTCCTGCCTAATACTATTGTATTAGCCTTCCCAAATTCAGCACTTTTACCCAAGGACAAGTCTTATCCTTATCCATAACTATCTAAAAACTTAGAGAATTATGATCACTGTTCCCAAAATGCCCTTCTCACTGAAACTTCGGTCATTTGACCAGGCTCATTCCCCAATACAAGGTCTAGTATGACTCCTTCCCTGGTTAGATTATCTATATATTGTTTCAAGAAACCCTCCGGAAGGGACCTAACAAATTCTGCCCCATATAAGCCCCTGGAACCAAGGAAGTCCCAGTCAATTTTGGGCAAGTTAAAATCACCATTACAACAACCCTCTGAGAAAAGGTTACCAGACCCGAAACAGTAACTTGGATTTCTCTTCACAGATACTGCCAGACCTACCAAACCTTTCCAACAATTTCTGTTTTTGTTTCTGATTTACAGCATCCACAGTTCTTTCAGTTTTTACTACAACAATCCTGCTGTTTTCATATCTATTCCTGATCTGTTTACATATCTGTTCCTCTATCTCACCTTACTATTGGGAGACTTATAGTATAATCCATAATAGTGATTGCAGCTTTCTTATTCCTAAGTTTTATCCATATGCTCCTGGTGGATGCGCCCTTCAAGATGTCCTCTTTTTGTCACTGATGTACTTTCTCCTTAAATCAGTAATGAAAAACTGCCACCCCTTTTACATCCCTATCACGCCTGAAACATCTAAACTCTGGAATGTTGAGCTTCCCTTCTCTCAACCAAGTTTCTGCAGTGGCTTCAACATCATTGTCTCATGTACTAATCCAAGCTCTAAGCTTATCTACTTTACCGGTTATACTCTTTGGATTAAAATAAACAGACTTCAGACCGCCTGTCCCACATGCTTGTAAACCCGCCTCAGCCTGCTTTTACTATTAGACTTTCTTGACTTAATAGCAGCCTTCTCCTCAATCACTCCACATGATGACCCACTGCTTTGGTTCCCACCTTTCTGGCGTACTAGTTTAAATCCTCCTGAGGAACACTAGCAAACCTCCCTTGCAAGGATAATGGTGCCCCTGCAGTTTAGGTGCAATCTACACTTCTTGTACAGGTCTCACCTGCACTGGAAGAGAATCCAATGATCCAGGTTTCTGAAGCCCTCCCTCCTACATTAGCTCTTTAGCCATGCATTCAACTGTATTATCTTCCTATTTCTAGCCTCACTGGCACATGGCACAGGGTGTAATCCTCAGAATACAACTCTAGACGTCCTGCTTTCAAATTTCTATTTAATTCCCTAAATTCCCTTTGCAGGACCTTATCTCTCTTCCTGCCTATGTCATTAGTACCAATATGGACTACAACCTCTAACTGCTCAACCTTCCCTTTCAGAATATCCTGTGCCCACATCGAGACATTGTTGATGCTGGGAGCAGAAAGGCTCACTCATGGCCATAAAAACATCGTTCTGTGGCCCTGTCTAAACAGTCCCCTACCACAACTGTTCACCTACACTTTGATGATCACTGTTGTATAATGGTGCCAGTCAAAGTACCACTGATCTGGCTGCTGCTGTTTTCCCCTGAGAAGCCACCCCACCCTCCCCTCATCAGTATCTAAAACAGTACATCTGTTTAAAAGGGGAATGGCCACATGGGACTCCTGTACTGCCTGCACATGCTTACTAGTTTTCTTGGTGGTCACCCATCGCTTTTCTGTCTGCCCTTACTTGTGGTGTGACCAGTTCACTAATTGTGTTATTCACAACATTATCAGCCTCATGGATGCTTCTTAGTGAGCATGTGGTAAATCAGGAGCTGAACTGCAGCTGAACACACTTCCGGCATACATGGTCACCATGGATACTGTAAGTGTCCCTGATTTCCCATATATTGCAGGAAGAGCATTCCACAGGGCTGAGTTCTCCTGCCATTACTAACCTTAGCAACTACAGACAATGAAACAACTAAAACACCATGCTGAAAGGAGATGTCTAGAGCTAGGGTTCCTAAAACTCTTCACACCTGGAACCCATTTCAAAGTTGGAAAATTGTTGGGAAACTTCAGCGAGAACTGTAACAGCAGTGACAAGAGGGATCTGAAAAAGCTGGGTGGGAGGGCCAAGTCCCTATAAGAGTAAATGTACAACAGAAAGGTTAATATCGAAAGGGAAGATATTGTTAGGAAGATGTTTTATATTTGATCTTGCTTGGAAGGCTTA